ACAGTTGAAAACATCAATATGGGCCTAGTCTTTCTATGTTTGTATGTCACCTTCTCTTCTGCACCTGAAAAATACTATGTTCACATCTCCAGTTTCATAGTTCTATAGCACAGTTTGTAGTTAAGTTTATTGATTGCTTCAATGATTAAATACTGATGTTATTGAGGATGTATACAATCAATTCATTTCAGGAGCTTTTGGTTGCAGGCTTTTTACATCACTGGCTATGCTGCACACAGTTTAAGAAGTAAGCAAGCTTGTATTTTTGTTCTTTGAAACTAGCAAAACCCTGTCAAGATTATTTAGGTTTTGTTTGTATTGTGGTTTAACCCCAGCCACACAGCTTGTTAACCAACCCCTCCCCCCCCCCCTTCTTGCCCTCCCCCTACTCCTGGAGGGACAGAGAGGAGAATCAGAAAGAATGCAACTCCCACGGGTTGAGATAAGAACAGTTTAGTAACTAAGGTAGAACACAAATCACTACTGCTACCACCAATAATAGTAATGATAAAGGAAATAACAAGGGAAGAGAATACAAGACCTCATCACCAGCCGATCGATAACTCGCCCCTCCAGCCCAACCAAGCACCGAGCGATACCTCCTCCAACCCTGCCGTCCCCCTAGCCCTTCCGGGTAACTCTCCATTACCTCCTGGGCATGACGTGCTGTGGTATGGAATACCTCTTTGGTCAGTTTGGGTCAGGTGTCCTGTCTCTGCTTCCTCCCAGCTTCCCCTCCTCCCTGGCAGAGCATGAAGCTCACAAAGTCCTTGGCCAAACCAAAACATCGTTTTTATCAGCTCTGTTCCCAGCCCGAAAGTCAAAACAGCACTGCACCAGCTACCAAGAAGGGGAAAAATGACTGCTACTGCTGAACCCAGGACAGTTTGTTTTCTTCTATTAAAATATTATTTTATTAAAATACTAGATACTTCAAGGGGGTAGTCTGGATTTTAACTTGTTCTGTTATTTCACGTATGTAACATAAGAACAGCAATAGTGAGATCACATTAGCCTTCATGGCTGAATAGAAAAGTGACAAAACCCAAGATATGGGTCACAGTAACAAGATGTGATCCCAAGAGATTAAATATACTTAAACCCTTTCATTATTTGCAGTCCATCTTTTCTCCAGAGCTAACAACTGAGAGATAAGGTTGGTTCTACCCATGATTCATAATGTAGGTTAATAAACCATTTTCAGGACAAAACATGGAGTCCTGGAAACTAGTCTTCTTAATGCTGTTGCTTGAGAACACATGGAATCTGTTAGCCTTCCAAAGTGGGAGGAAAATTCAAGTTGTTTTCTTTGGTAGCTAAGCATAACAAGCATAGATATTCAAAAACACCAAAGTTTTGTGCATCTTCAGATACACACTAGTTTTGTTTTCTGCTGGTTTTCCCCTAAATGAAAGGCTGCTAGCTGAACTAAAGAACATGTCAATGTACTGCTATCAATTATGTCCTTCTTCGAAAACTCAGTTGTCAAAGAATTTACCAAATACCTCATGGTAATGCTCAAAAGGTTTCTGTAAAATATGCAGATGTTGAGTCAGAACTGCTCTCTGTCTCAGTCCTGCCATGCAGCCAGCATGAACTGGGACAGAGCTAGTGGACTGAACTGTCACAAGATGCTAGGGTAAAGTGCTTGCTCCTAGTCTCTCTACTTTTGTAATACAGGGGAAGGCACTGTATTGGATATCACTGTGTGATATAAACACCCATGATTCGCTGAAAGCAGCTATAAATGAATTTTATTAATAGACTGGTCTCCTTTCCTGAATGAACAAGAAACAGCAGCAATCAGGATCAAAACTTTTCAAGAGATGGGGTCACTTGAAGGAAGAGTATATACACCACAGGCTGAGGTTAAACTGAATTACCACAGCTATGTGGGAAGCTTTTGTGACTCCTACACATTATTCATGTAGTACACATTATTCACGTAGCTCTAGACAGTGAAACTTGCTAATTCACCACAACAATTTTCCAAAATATAATCTAGAAGACAACAGACACTCTGCAAACAGCAAGACTGGATCTTCTCCCTGTTTTTACTTATTATCATAGCAAGTTCTACAGTAAACCTTAACACAGAAGAACTAGTTTAGAAGGAACATGCTACTGAACTATTTTATGTAGATCCCCTCTGCTCCTTTTCATATGCTAGAGATAAATGAAAGGCTCACAGGTGCCCAAGGACTTGCCACATAAAAAGAGGATATTTGGCACAGAAAAGGAGAACTAAGGCTGGGGTTTCAGTGAAAGACAACATTACAACATCATAAGAACATTTGGGAGTTGCAGCAGATTCCAACATTTTCGTGAGAAGCACAGTACTCCCAACAGGGCACTCGGGGAAGCACAGGAAGTTGCCACTTCAAAAACATACTTGTGACCATTTCCTATCAGGAGTTGGGATGCCCTATGAATGTTAACAAAAATGTAAATACGCATCCAAAGTAACTGTACATTCATCAGCCTGCTTTATCCATACCTGGTATTGACTTTTACACTATACTCTTAATAACTTACAGCTCTGACTCCTGCCTAACTTAAAATTTAAATTCAAAACGCCATACTACTATACAGAAAACACTTTATTACAGACAAAAATGCCATACTAGCTCAGGTCCAAGATCCATCTAACACAATATCCCATCTCTCATAAGGACTTGCTAATAGGTGCCTAAAGAAGAGAAGAACAGAGTAAACATACAGCAATCTTTCCTTGATGCACTTTGCTAGTTGACAGCAATTTGCAGCTCTTGGATTTCCTCTGTCTTCTCTTAAGCGTACACATAAAAACACATTCGCATTTAAGGCCCAAAGCTATTCTGAGTCTGACATAATTTAAATCAACTTTTCACTGTTTGGGTTACCACTTTAATCCTTTCCATTTCAATGAACACACAGGCACACTTGAAACTGACATTCATTCATCCCAGTGCTCGAAGAGATTAAATCCCAAAACCTAAATTAACTGTCACTTTAAAACAGCTTTTAGAAGCTACATGCAATCATCCAGTCTGAATAAAAAAAAAAAAAAAACTCCTTATTCAATCCAAACACTGATATCCAGCAAAATCCTAATGTTACTTCTAAGTGAGATTAAAGATTTGAACATTCACATGAAGTAGAGCAAACAATACTTTCAGTAAGTGAATAAACTAGTTGTAAAGATCTTTTTGTAAATATAGCCAAGATGTAAACATTATTCTATAACAGGGACCTGACAGATGATAATACCTCATACCAAAATTCTAATTGCTAAATTATAAAATGAACACCTACAAAAGACAGGTTTGACAGAAAAAACATGCCTCGTCAAAATAAGGCTCTTGACCTAAGTAAACTTAAAATAAGAACTCTAAACCTCATCCAAAAAACTTAACTGTAAAAAACAAATGCTGAATTCAAATACTGAAGATAATCATGAGGTCTAAAGATGCTAGTCACCACTGTCCAACTACACAGCCTTCTTCAAAAGGAAGAACTTTGAAAATCACTGGAAACTATTGCCCCTGAAGTTATTCCAGTCTATTTAGAGCAACTAAAAGGCAAAGATGTGCCAAGCTGTTTGAGAAATCAAGTCAGAGAAAAACTCTGGAAATGCAGAAAGGTGGTTTGTTATAAATGCACATTAAATAAAGCAAAGCCAGGAATTCAGAGGTGAAAGCACAGAAGTAGCATGAAAAGGCACCTACTGCTCTTGCAAGCTCTTACATAAAATATCATCATTTACGTTCCTCGCCTCCAACACGCCAAATTAATAGTGCTGTTTATTGCTCAACACAGACTAAACGTAGGCATTAACGATATCAGTAGGAAGCTGGTTTCAGAGGTGAATTAAGTTATTCTCAGCCAATTCACAAAAACACCTCATGGTACTGATAACCTATAAATTAAAGTTTACAGGTCTCCCGAGTCCGACCGCGTAGTCTGTCATTGACTGCTCCACTCACATCCATTACTCGCTATAAACGAGCTCTCTGCTCAGCTCCTCCCGACAGCCCGGCAGGGTTTAAAAGCGAGGCACAGCCGAGAACCAGCCGTGACTGAGCTCTCCTCTCCCCGCAACCTCTCTCCGCACCAAGTGGATGTCACCGCGGTGCCCGCAGAGCGCGGGGGGGGTGTCTCCGCTCCAGGCCTGCCACCGCGGGCGCGGGTCGAAGCCCCCCTCACGGTTTCGCCGCAGCCGCCTCAGCCCGAGGGCAGCCCCCGCGCTGCGGTACCCACCCGTCGGCGCCTCGCACGTGCCCAGGGGGCTCCCCCTGAGGGCGGCGGCGGCGGCCGGTCAGGGGGAGGGGGCCATCTTGAAACCGGCGCCCCGTACAGGGGGCACAGACCCCCCCTCACACACACACACACACACACACACACACACACACACAACCCTGGGGCCGAGCGCCCACAGCCCGCCACCTGCCTCATCCCCTCACTCGCCAGCCGGCCCCCTTCTCTCCACACCGCCAGCGCAGTCCCCCCGGCACAGCGCAGCCCCATCGCACCTCTCAGAGCCCCTGGCTCTGGGGGAACGTGGTACACCTCCGCCAGCTCTTGGACCCCCGTTCGTGGCGCCGCCCCACGGGGCTGCGGCTCCTACCTGCGGCCAGGACTCCCGGGTGGTGGCGACGAACACACCACAACCTCACTGTAACCGCCGAGCCGCGCTCCCCATCACCGCTGCCGCGCTGGGCCGGGCCGGGCGCAACCGGCCCCTCCCACCAGGGCGGAGCTCCGCGGCTCGTGAAGCCCAACGGCCGCTCGCCAGGCCCGACCCCAACACCACCACCCCAATGCCCGTACACAGACACACGCTACGGAAAAGCTCGCGGTCTATTGGCTAGAGCAGGGAGGACCGCGCAAAGACGAACACTGATTGGCCGCGGGGGAAGGCGGCTGCCCGCCCCGCAGGGGTCGCGTGACGCCCTGTGACGGGGGGGACCGGCAGGAGCGGGCGGATGGGGTCGAGGCGGTGTGTGAGTGCCACGGGTGCGTGTGGCCCGGAGACAGGTACGGCGCTGCCCCGCAGTGCCCGGGGAGCAGCGGCGACCCTCGCGGAACGTGGGACCCTGGGTTTGGCTTTGGCCTTGGTTTGGCTTTGGGGAGCTCCGGAGCCACACACCGAGACAGTGAATCTCTGAAGTCTGCAGAGGGTGAGCTCAGGAGGGCGCAGGACGAGTAACGCGGTAAGGTAGGGCTGAGAGATGGAGAGGGCTTGGGAGCTATCAAACGCAGCGGTGGCTTCCCCAGAAGTCTGCAGTCCTACCTGGGTGTGAAATGAAGAGACTTTACTCATTCAGTGAATCTAGCTTAACAGGTTTATTTTTCATATAATAAAACATGCCGAGGATTCTTCCAGTCGTTTCCAAGAAAGGGAATACACTGGTATTATAAATACATATGTTTGCAACAGCAGTGTTGTCTAATGTCCACAGAAGCCAACATTTAGTGCACAGGGCAGTCAGCTTGCACGAGTGCAGCCCTCATCTACACCAAGCTGTACTCATACAGTTGTTGCCTAATCTCAAAATACATCATTACAGGTGGTTTTGGACAGCTTTCATCTTCCTGTACTTTGTGGGGATTTTATGCATCGTCTTCAAGTAACATTTTGAGAGAAGTGTTTGATAGTGCCAAAAGTTCATTGACACACATAAGCAGTTCCAAAGGACTATCAGTTTCTTACAGTTTCCTCTCATTTCTTGGGGCAGGTCATTTATTACTAGGCATATGTAGCTGTGTAGTGTGTGATGCAGCTAATCTCATTTGACCTTCTCTGACATTTGTTCCTATTCAATTTAGAACTGTGTTTTTTTGGCACACTACAGGATTACATGATTTCATTATGTTGTCAATCATTTTTGGTTTAGATCAGCAAATCATTAACAATTACTTCCTTCTTACCCATATCTTCAAAGACTTGGGATGTAATCCTTCCTTTTGTGATCCACCAGCAGCTGAAGCATTCCTGAAAGGAAGCTGGTTGAACATATGTGGTTGTTTTTAGGATAAATTATCTCAAAGGCAGTAGAGTGGTTACAATGCCTAGAGGTGCTAGACACCTCAAAATGTAGCCCAGTTTCTGTATTAATACATATTTTTGTGGGCTTCTTTTGAGGTCATATTTCAAGTATTTATCTCACTTTCCTTTTAAATAAATCTTTCACAAGATTAAACAAACGCCAAGCCAATAATGTTCTTTTTATGCTGAGTACCACCCAAGTACTTTTTCATATCTTAAGACTTAACCTCATTTGGAAAATTAATAAACCAGTTCTGAGTTCTGATACTTTATATGCAAACTTTCATCTATGTCTGGGCTGTTGTAGCAGAAACTTAAATTCCTCAGGATGAAAGTGCTGACAGACACTAAGCAACAAAAATCCAAAACAAGGCTTCCAGCCAGAAAATTGAATTGCCATTGTACCCATCCACATATTACCCTTATTTTTCCTATTGTAGGGTCTGGCAAGAGTAAGTTGAGCCCTACATTGGTTTTGAAAAAGAGCTTATTCTCCACAAACCCAGAACGAAGTAACTCCTGTAAACTGAACACTCCCACGTGGTAGCAAATGAGATGAAACTAAGGAGAGAATGAAGAGCTTTCATGGGTCACTGCTTTTTCCAAACCCAAGGGAGACAACCATATCCAGAGGACATTCTCCAGCATGACTTTAGTTAAGAGCTAAGCATCCCAAAATCATTAAATGAGCTCAAGTCTGAAAATCTAAGAGCCAGACTAGTAAAAGATGGCTATGGGTTTAAATTTAGGCAGGTTAAATGCCCTTCTGTCTTTAATTTTCTCCCAGGAGTTTCTCTGGTGGAAAATGGCAGAAAGAAATAAGACACACGAGTCCCCAAAACACTGTAGAGTTGACTGGTATTGTTGAGAGAATTTCTTCTGCTTTGCTGACATGGGTAAATCTGCAAAAACTGCATCCTATATCACTTTCAGGGGAATGCAGCAGTAGAAAGACATCTCCGGTGGTACCACATCTCGGAGCACTGTGGACCCACAGTATCTTCCTGGTTGCCTCTAAAGATCTAGCTGATCACAAGGTGTTGGCACGTCTCTCTTCGGTTGCTAAGTTGATTTTACAAGGCAGCTAAAACATATTAAATACTTTCCTAAAATTATTTTTCCATGCAGGCAATTGCTGTATCTGGCACAAAGATGTTACATGATCATTAATGGGAAGTTCAACTGAGCCAGTTTCTCTTCAAAATGTGTCCAGCCCTACAGGACAATCTGAGAATTCCTGTTTAATATGTTTAGCTGTGCGTGTGCAGAAGCTGCTTTGGTGTGCTTCACCTCCTGACACTGCTGCTTTTGTTGTGCATACCTGAGATTCTTGCATAATAACAGAGCCATCTCAGGTGTCTTCCACTCCGTTCAGAGCATTGAGCTCTGTTCTCTGGATTTTAGCACGCAGCTTGGATCACGTTACATTTACAGAAGAGTTTACCAGACACTTATTTAGAAAATTTCCTAGAGAATAGGGATATTATTTTTTTATATATACTTGAATGGCTTCCAAAATACTTACACAGCTGCCTCAAGTTTTTTATTTCCTTGATTTTAGTCTGATAAGAGTACAATCAATATTATCAACTTTTTCTGTCTCAAATTCCAGCATTGTTGGTGCAAGTGAAATAAGTAGTTGTAGGCATCTTTTATTTTCCAGACACATTGTAAATGCTTGCTAGGTTTTTTTGTGTTACTGTTTCATCTTCATAGAATTCCAGCAAACAGGCTTGTGGGTAGCACGAAGGACTGGCTGAATGGAACTGGAACCAGCAAGTCTGTTTCAGTCATTGCAGACTGAGGACACTGGAAAATATAATGTTTCAGTCATTGCAAATTGAGGATACTGGAAAATATGTGAAACCAGATTAATTTATTAAAAGCATATTTATTTTATTTTCTCACTTTTTCCTATTATAATTGCAAAACCTTCTGAAATTTGCTGTTCAGCAAAACTCTGGAATATATCTAGGTACAGTAAATGAGTTATGCAAATGATTTTATTGAAAGAACATGCACATTCATGTGTACACAGTATTTGCCTGTTCTTCCTATTACAGATGCAACCTGTAATAGAATTCTAGTTTGTTAAAGCAAAGAAGGGCTCTAGAGACTCCATAATTCTGACTGATATGGTAGAAATCTGTCATGTTCATGTAGGGCACATGGAGCTTGAATACATTAATATGAATAAATATTAAAATATGTTAAACATTTTTTGTTGTTATTTTCCTGAGGAAATAAGACTTATGATATTTCGAGCTTCATGAGCAATCTGCTTGTGAGTCCCCCTTAGCAGTCTCTGATTTTTTCTAGCTGCACTTCATGTGATTTTAACTCTTCTTTCGTTACATTTATAAAAATCTAAAAAATACATCAGGTTTTTTCCCTTCAACTTGTAAACTTTTGCTGTCTGTGGAGTTCTCGGTATTTTTCTGTGAAGCCACCTTTATGATTTTCTGGTATATGAGAATTTCCCCTCAGGATCCAGCTCTCACAGAATCTTAGACTGGTTTGAGTTGGAAAGGTCCTTCAAGATCATCTGTTTTCAACCCCCCATCATAAAGGTACATACATGATGTAGACAGACATCTTCAGGTCTGAGCTTTTTATTCTCCTGCATGCTCACTGAGCTTCCCATGGCTGGTTTTGCTGTGCATAAGCTATTTTGAATATTCATAGAGCTTTGATAAATAACAAAGCTCAATTTTGTCCCTTCACCAAATATCTCTCGTTCTTCTTGCTCAGTCTCAGTTTTCCTTACTGCAAACCATGCTGATATCCCTTCTGCCATTCATACCACCGATTTCTCAGTTATGAAGCAGAAACTGAATAAAGTTCATTGAGCAGAAATACAACAATTTGCCTGACAACAATTTACCTGTTAGATTGACATTTCAAATTTTGTTTTACTTTGAATTCTTTCCTGGATGTCTTCCTCATGATCATGTTTCCAGACCATATCTGATAAGCTGTTCTGTAGTTTTACTGCTCTCATCCAATGTCATTGATCTATATATATATAGCATTATATATATAGCATTATATATAAACTTGTCTAATTATCAGGCTACAGTCCAGTTTGCTGAACCTTGCAATACAACCATTGATTCATTCCATCCAACTTGAGAAGTTCTGTTGGAGCCTTCTCTGACTTGGAGTGTTCCTGTTCTTGAAAGTTAATTATATTAATTATGAATGCTGTTTCAGATTTTAATGGTGTCAGTTCTCCAGTCCATGTAGTTCACTGTTTTTCATACAATTCCTTATTGTATAATCAGTGTCAGACAATCCCTTGTTTTTCTTACTAGAATTTCACATGTTAATGATTTATTAATTCTGGCTTGCAGTTAAAACATTTCTATTGCTGACATGAAGAATCAAACATCTCCTCAGGGTTTTGCTGCCACCTCCTGATCCCTGGCACACCTACTGATATCTTATTTAATCTTGTTTAATGGTTTGGATTTGCTTAACCAAGGCACCTACTACCATCAAACTGCACTGAGCCAAAAGCAGCCATGTCCTTCATACTGCTTAATATTAATATTATATGTTAATAGTGCTTGGAGAGGAGAAATACGCATACAGTTGAAACAAACTAAGAACAAAAAACTAGTATCTGCAATGAGCTAAATGCTGATGTTAAAGTTTCTCTTAAAACAACTTCAGGATTTGTGGAGGAATTATGAAAGAATTAAAGACATAACGAGAGTGAAGTTTAGGATGTATCATCCCTAATTAGGCTTCCACTGAATTCTGCTGAACTCCTGGGAGTGTGAACTGTTTGCAGCACAAGACAGTTAAAATGTCACTGCTTGCTTTATCTCTCCTGGCAGTTACAGAAAACTACTGCTATTAGCAAATTTGAATGTGGGTGCAAGCCAAGAATGTGCTGTTTTGGAAGTGTGATCCTGCATATGCGTTTTAGTCTTCCACTCACAGACTAAGGAGAACTCTGATGCTGGGAGATCAAAGTCAGAAGCTAGGGAATGAGATCCATCAGTCTTAGATGTGGTTTTGAATGGCAGACAGGAGAAGTATGAAGAAGAATAGAATTTGGTTCAATAAGCAGCTATAGTTTCATTTTAATTTGCCATCTGATTGCCTGCTCTCATTTCCCTACATTTTCTCCCCTAAACCGTGTCTGATCCCCTTTTGCAGCCAGAAGGCAGAGTGCTGAACACCTGTGCAAACCAGAGCTAAGGCAACAAGCACAACCCGCTGCTCCTTTCCCTTTGGGCAGTGTGCAACTATAGAGTGGAAAACAGATTGCCCTCCAGTATTATCATAAGTTATCATGTATAGTTTGCACTACTGAGTTTAACTCTTACAAAATGCATTAGAAAAGAGCCAACTGCTGAGGTGCAGACACGACACCAAGATTAACACTAAATATACATTTATAATCTCACAAAAGCACAGCACCTAGTAATAAAGAGGGAAACATTTTTTTTTTCACAATCTGGCATACACTTGTGGCATATTCTGAGTTTAAAATTTCTCTAATAAATCAGTGATATTATGCTGACAGGAAAATGGGGTGGCTGATAACTGAGTGCCTCTTGCACACCATCTGTTTCAAAGGAAAGAGTTTTGCTTTGGAGTTAATTTTGCCCTCCCAGTTCACAAATGTTGCTATGTAAGTGGCTGCAAATTAGGGAATATCAGAACTGAGGAGATGGTAGTTTAGAACAGGCAAAAGTTACCAACCCTGTGGGTGTCTCTGTAATTAAACAAAGTTGCAGGAGCCGTAACACCCAAACTCCAGCACTTGTGCATTTAGTGAGTAGTAGAGAGGCATCTTTCTAGGCTGAAAAATTAGTGCCTATTACTCATTATCAATACAGTTGCTATCAATCATTATTAATCATATTTAGTCTGTATCAGATTGTTAAAACAATGTTTACCTGCTTTGCCAAACAAAAACTAAGAACCATGTACTCCTCCAGACATCGAGAAAGACTCCAGAAAATAATATACACTTTCCTCCAGGACTTAGAAAAAGCAACACCTTCCTCTTGCACCTAGCAAGGTATGGTCAAGCTTACCCTTAATATCAAGATTGCACCCAGCTGTCTTGCACTTAGTCTTTACCAAGCAGCCACAACAGCACAAGGTTTACAGCTTCCTGATACGTGCCAGGTGCCTTGGCATCTGTCATTGTCTCTGGATGATTCAAGCACAGGCAAATGCCCTGTGGGCAGTAGTGTGATAATCTCAGGTTTACTTCTTCCAGAGTACAGGCAGAGGTGCTTTGAGCTCAGGCTGCAGCAAAGCTCCCACCCAGGAAGATGTGGATCATGAGTGTCTTCTGCATAAACCCACTGGCAAACCTGTGCTTCCTTCCTGAGTAAAGTGGTTGTTTCTCACACTTCCCAGAGCTCCTTCTCTCTGGCTACCTGTGAAAGGTGATTTAGACTCAACAGGATTATGAGCCAGTCAAGATCAGCAGAAATAGGGACCGTAAGTCTGACCAGAGCTGGTGAATGCCATACTCTTCCTTCCATAGACCCCTCATGTGCCAGCTCTTCAGAAGGCTGTTAGAAGCTTTGCTTTTTCTGCACCTGAAAGATTAATACCTTCTTAACATGACTGAGAGAAAGGCATGTGACTGCAACTCAGAACTGTCGTTTTGTCTCTGAGTGCTGGTCTTTCCAAGTCAACATTTTTACCTCTCTAGACTGGATAACGCACTGTGATTCTTGGTTTCTATTTTTGGTTAGCTCATCTAGGGCAAATTCTAAGCAGGCTGGCTCAGCTTGCTGCCTGCCAGCACAAGCCAGCCGATCTAGAGCAAAATCTCATTATCAGTCTTTTATTTTCAACTCAAACTCTAGTGCCATTCAGGTCTGCCAAAAGTGCTCTTCTGTATCTATAGAGGGGTGGTCTTTTCACCTGGAGAGTACCTTTATTCCCATTTTGCTCTTTTTGTGTGAGAGTACGTGCACATATAAGGGAGGGATGAGGGAGGGAACAGCTCCTCTAAGAGACAAACATCCATTTCTCTCCCTAAGCTGGAAACCTATTTAAATCTGCTTGCTGGGAATCAGCTGAAGGGCTGATTCCCAACACATGCACAAGGTAGGGTGAGCAGCTCTGCCAAGTTTTTAAAGAGCCCATACAGCCTATTACACAGGGTTTGACATTTCTGACACAAGACCTAGCTTTCAGCTGTTTGTGCCGGGCTACACTAATTCAGACTGAAGAAGTCAATACTGATGGTCTGCATCATGTTTTTCTTGACCTGAGAAAATATCAAAGTGTTTAATATTTTCTGAAATTAAATGTAGGAAAGCTATGTTGTTTTTAAATAGGAAAAAAGAAAATCAGACTTTTTATGGAGAAAGTTTGCTTTGAAATTGCGCAAGGAATGCCTTTGTTAGGTGCTTTTCACTGCTCCCGAGAAAATCTACTCTTATTTGGCCAAATTTTATGGTATTTCAAATCTCAGCAGTTGCTACTGCTTAAGGGTTAAGACTGTCCCAGGGCAAGCTTATGCCTCTCACAGTTACAGTCCTGTTGTTTGTGCATCATTCCCACAGTTCAAATAAGGCGCTGCAGCCCCTCTCAGCTCCTAGCCTGGGCATGCACTCTCTGTACAAAGCCACTGCAAATGCTGCAGCCCAAGATGACATGATGGAGACAGAGTTTCTCAGTAATGGTTGTTTCCAGCTGCTGCACACTGAGCCGGAGATAAGCAATAAAGGGAGAGCAGGGACACTTTTCTGTGCTTTCAGTGACCTTTCTGTTGGCATCTAGGCAATGTGAAGGAAGAGGCTATCTGATTCAGAGCCAGGTGTAAGGCCTTGCTGTGGAGAACCAGCAGGCTGTACTGGAAATAGGAGCATGTGGGATGAAAACTGGGACTTGCAGAGAAGGCAGGTATTCAGGACTGGCAGGTCAGGAATACTGTTTTGAAGCCACCAAAGGAAATGACTACTGATGGAGACTAAGGATCCAGAACAAGGATATTAGGGTTGTAGGCTAAAAGGATGATGGAGGTGACTATAGGATGGAGGAGACAAATTGCCCAAGAAACTGAGGCACAAGTAAAGGAAACTGATAGAGAAGCTGGGATGGAGAAGGAAGGTGAACTGAGAATGCAGTTCCAGGAAGGAGACTGGCACTAGTAACCATCGGAGGTGGCTAGTGCTGGCAAGTGGATGAGAGAGCAGCCTCAAATGGGAGAGAGCCAAGCAAAAAAGTCCAGAGGGAGTTCAGATTACCGAGGCAAGGAGATGTGGAGTGCAGGCTCAGCTGAGAGTTTGAATACGAGGGGTTCTTTCTAATGAATGTTGGTGAATAAAACAAATAAGTTGCAACAAAACAAAAAGTAGCCAAATTATCATCTTTCCATCAAAGGCCTCTAATTGTACACTCTGAAAAGGCAAGAGGGAGCCCAGGACAGGAGCAGCTGTCAGGCCTGAACACAGGATTCACGACTGTACCACTCACTCTCACGGCTGGCTGCAGCAGATCCTCTTGGTGCTGTCAGACTGCCAGGGACACCGAGCTGTGCCCACTCGACCGGCTCTGGCAGGGATGTACATGGGAACCCATGGGGGGGAAAGGGTTGCTGGCAGTGGGAGTACCTGGAAGTGTCATTGTGTCACTGGCGTGGTGAGTTGAAGTCACCTGCTGCATGTGCATCTTTTCCAGGGTGGATCCTCTAGATGTTTTAGTGTGATTTTTACTTGCTCTCTGTTTGCGACAACTTGGTGGTCAGGCTGTTGGCTGCATTCTGATGCCAGGTATTAGGCAGACACGTTTTGACTATCTCAGGTAGTGATACGGCTTTTACTGATTTTAATCTACCAATGATAATAATAATGGCAAGATTAGATGGTGAAATCTGAATGTATTACAGGCCACAGCACTCATCAAACAAGTAGCAGATAATTATTATTATACTTAGTGCCGCTTTCTTGGATGGACTCTTGTGTTTAATTTGGAAATAGTTCCTGACCTTCCTGCTCTGACCATGACTGAGTGCAAAAGCTAGGCTGATCCTCTTACTCTGGATTGTGTTTAACAAAAACTCCAGCTGTCTCCAGGTTTTCTGTGTGCAGAAGGTTGTATGCCACACAGCCTTTGGCATACCTGATGCCAGTCTTCATTTCTCTCTGCAGTGACATGTCATCCAGGTACTACCAGCATTCAAGAATCTCTTATGTATGGTGTTTTGTAGACCACAAACAAATACATTCAGTAAGGCTGGTGCTAGCACAGATTGTTGTGAGAATCACTATTCTGAGGTCCAGACGTGGGTTTGTGGCCTGTAGCTCCATGAAAATGACTAGCAGAGTAACAGCTCAGTTGCCACTGATACTCCTTGAGGAAGGATGACTGAAGGTTTTGTCAGTGGATTGGTATGTCAGATGGTACCGGGCTTACTGTGAGCTGAAGTCAGCAACACTTTTCTCATTCTTTTGACTGTCTTTTTTAACATATTTGGCTATTGTGGTGGTGTTGATGTTTCATTCCAGCAGGAAATCTGACAAAACGCCATTCACGAGACCCTACCAAGGGATGCCAGGGATGGTGCCTGTCCTGCCAGCTCCAGGCATGGGTGTCTGCAGCTCAGGAGAGAGCCAGGAAATGCTGTTGAAGTGGCACCTTTGTCTTCAGTAGCATTTTGCTGTGTCATGGGCATCTGCAACCCTGCAGCATCACACAGATGTGGAGATGGACAGACACTGCTTAACATTTCTTTTCCAGTTTCTGTAGCAATTACAGCATTACATTGTCAAACCTCCATATTAAGCTAGATTAAAAGTATCCCTTAATTTCCGTTTGTGATTCTTAAGATCTCTTTTTTTCCTAGTAGTACCTAGTGCTATGTATCAATTTGTATGTTCAAAGCAGTTTCTGCTTCCTGGGCTACAGCTGTTTGAGTGTGTCTCCAAATCAGATTCTAGGTTGTCAAGTCAGCACCCAAAACGATGAGTATGAAATGGAAGACTAACACAATAAGAACTCCTCTGCTGGAATTCTCTAGCAGAAGCAGAACAGACTCCAGTCCTCCCAGACAACATTCTGCTGTTTTAATTGTAAAGCAGTCCTGTTTCTTCATGCAGTCGCCTGTGTCATTCATTTTCCAGTTTCAGCAGCAATGGGAACAAGGGTCTGGCAGACAACAGACACTTTTGGTTCAGAAACTGATTCATAACCCACAGCAGGACTGAAAAACTAATATGTGATGTTGTAAGTAAAAACTATATTAAAAGTTAAAATTACAAAATTAGCTTTGCCAAGTTTTAATGATTGACTGTGCAACATTAATATGGTTTGACTGTATTTCTTCCTGAATACAGATTTGTTTATGTGCTCTACCTGTTTGTCAGCTCAAGTTCTTTGTCATCCCAGGGGGTGTTGAGAAAAAATTACAGGAGATAGAAAAAACAGGAAAGTTAATTCAGACTAGTCCATGCAGGCAGCTGGAATATGCCAGCATTACCATTTCACTCCCATTAAGAATAGGAAAGGTTGACAGAAAGGGCTAAAGGACATTTTTGCAAAGAAGCTCCTGGAAGCAGCTATGCTGGGATAAGCATTAAGACTACACGTATGCTGTTTTTTAAGAAAGGTTATAGTCCCCCTGTATAAGGCTTCTGCAACAGTAAAATATTATTTGGGTTTATAAAAAAGGATTTAAAGGTACACTTAAAGAAAGTCAGCTAGACTTTTCTTCAGGTTGGTATTTCATGTGTAATTCTGGAAACACCGTATCTAATCTTGCAGCAAATAATGGGGTGGTTTCTATCACTGAACAGACCAGAAGGAGAGAGGTGGAACTATCATCTGGCTCCAGGTTGTTTATGCTGTACTTTGCAGCAGTCACTGTCACTGTGCAGATGGCCTTTAGTGTATTCTCCTTAAGGTACTATCTTGGGGAGCTCCTGCTTTTTGCACTGGTTGGGTGGGAGCTCAGAACCACTCTCTTCTCTGGGGCACTCACCAGACACAGCATCAGAACTGCAGTGTTACGAAAGACAAATAAAATGCAAAAATATTGAGGCAAAACTTGTGGACCAAGTATGCTGCTTACTAAACCTGTTTTTCTAGACACCAGCAAAGGCTGATGAAGACTCTTCTACAAAAACAAAACCAGCGTGTGTGTGCAATGTAATGTTTTTCCTTTCAAAATCAGGTTGGCAGTGTCTCTTTAATGTACAGTGCTGTGAACTTAAAAGAAATCTCATTATCAGCCTTCCTAGCCTTAAGCACTTCATCAAGTATTTCATGTTGCTGGCTTGCAGATGCTGCAGTTAAGGTCCTGGGTGGTGGGGTTTTGTTTGTGTTCCCTTAGGCTCTTTTCTTGGTTTTATATATATATGTGGCTATGTGGTTATGTATATATTTGTGGCTATAAATACTTTAACCCTGAGAAAATACATGAAAGTAATCATATAGACATTAACTAGTTGCCATGTGATTTTTCTTTTTCAAATCCTGGAGTCACAAAGCATAACTTTTAATTACCTGATTTTGTTTTGGGAATAGTAGTTTCTTCTTCAGACAGATAACAACATGATCAGAAATATGTATAATTTCTTCTCCAGAATTCTTTATTTCCCCAGGCCAACCTTTAATAAATAAACATTTATGCTTGAATCAAAGAGATATGCACCCCTGAGTAAAAGTTCCAGTTCCTCTGTTGTGGTCTCAGCACTGTATATTATCACATATTGTTCAGAGAGATTCTCAAGATAGAGATCAAAAACTTATAGTTCATTTCAGTTCATTGTTTAAATTCTAAATTAAAGACAGAAAACTTAATTCCAATGTAGTCATATCCAACTCGCTAGGTAACTTTTTTCTACCCCTTTCCCTACCCCAAAATAGCTGGAACAATAAATACATATATGTTAGTGTAAACTGCATCCAGATAATATTACATGCTCATATTGTACATTCAGGTGCTAAGGAGAAGAGTCCTTTTTGCAAACAGTTTTGCAAAATCTAAGTATGTGACTTTAGAGTGACTGTTAGTGTGGTAGCTTTCACCAAAGTAGAACTTAGTAATGATCCATTGGTGTCAAAACCAGCTACAAACTGCTGAGACACAGGATTTTCAAATGGAAGATCCATTGCAGCCAGGATTCAGTGGTTGCATTACTTTGGACTTCAAACCTCTTGCTGTTCCATTCCCATAAACATGCAGAAAATTGTTGCAGAGCACAGGACTGTGTAATAGCTGCACTCCACAGCTGCGGAATCTCCCCTGTGCTGAAGCTTTTTAAATGAGTGGAGGAGGAGACTTTTGCAGACTTCTGAAGGTATCCTAATGACTTTTACCCTTTGATGTGCTTGGGTTAACCCAATTCAGTTTCTCGGTACATACAAAATATTGTAAGATTTTCTAATGTCTAGTTTCTTTCTTTTTCCCTTTCTAGTTTATTTCTTTTTTTATTTAGTTTCTAAAGAATCAATGCTTAGATACCTGTGTGTTCCAGATAATTCTTGGATTTGTTAGCAAGTTTCAGTCAGGATTGATACAGGTCTCAAAGGTAAGTTTGAATTTACTCAGAGGTAAGTTCAGTTTTATGAAAGTGGGTGGCTGATAAAGAAATCAAAATTGGCAACCCCACACCAAAAAGCTACAAGAGCTCAGCTATTATTAGATGTCAGGGAATCTGTTCTGAGGAGCAATGTCTGTCAGCACCCAAACCATCATAAAAGCTTCCATCAGAATTTTGCATGGGTGGAAAATGCGGGAATCACAGTTACACATCCTTGGTGTAGAGAGAGTTGTACTGTGACCATTTCTTTGTCCAATATGAAAGCAGAAATGGACCAATAAATATGACATGCATGCCCTCCTTTTTTGTCTTGTGCTGTCCCAGTGTTCGTTCCCCAAGCTGCACCCCTGAAAGTTCCTTCCTGCCTCCCAACTTTGAATACTAATGTCAGAATTGAATTCCAAGTATTTGCCATCCAAATGAGCAATTCAGCTACCCCATGCCTGGTCTCCTAAATATATACTGTAAAAAAAGCTATCCTGTGGTCATATGCTATTTGCTATTTTAATTTGATTGTTGTGTCTCTTTCACACTGGCTCTCATTTGCTTTTCCAGCCCATATTCCTATCAGGAACACATTTGTCCAAATTAATGCTGCACCCATTCTATGATCATAAATTGCCATTCTCAGTAACTTAATTCTTACCTTAAATTTAAAGTTCTCTGTTTCTCACAAATATTCTAAAGCTTTAAATCTTTATAGAAATATAACTCTGGATTGTGAAAAGTGACTTTTGGGGTCCTTAGGACATAATGGTGTGGATGCTATAAAACCTGAAAGAATAGTTACAGCGATATTTTGCTGTTAGAAATCGCTACTATTAGCAATTCCAGACTGCCAAAGATTATGGATTAATCTAAAGAAGGAGCCACATTCTGGCAGGGTATGCTTGGTGATCACCATGAAAATTACTCTGTTATAAGCTGCTTTAGTGATCAGAGAATAAACTGCTGGACTCCAAGGGAGAACTGGTAGTCAGTCAGTGCACACTGTGTTTATCCTCCGTTTCTGATTTTGCAAATGATGTGAGAGCAGATCTAGAATGCTGGAAAGTTATTGACTAATATGTGGATGACTGTGGAAGTGCTGGGTATCCTGGTCACAGATGTCTGTGGGAAAGGCCAACATTTAAAGCCATATAAATGTACTTCAGTGAGTATTTGAAATTTTGAGGCATTAAACAACTGTATCTCCCACCTGTAAAGGAAGAGCAAGAACACCAATAGTGGCTGTTTTCAGGTAGAGTCATATTTTTATGGAAGATAAAGGCCAATTGCCAATTTCCCAATGCTCATTTTTTTAAATATGGCTATGACTTGAAAGTACATGGCTGAAAATGAGCTTGAACTACACTTTCTGCCACTCTCAAAGCTATGTAATTCTGAATGCTGTGTCAGTGACCGCCTACATTTTCCCATCAGGAAACAAAACTGCTGGTATCTTACCTTGTGGCACAGGTGTGGTCACTGACTGTGGGTGTAGTGAACTTCTTGTCTCAACTTTTCTCCCTTGTCCCATGGTCTCTGTCTACAATGCTCTTGTTTTTTCTCCTTTCTCACCTCTCCCTCTCCAGCCTATCCTTTCCTTGGGTGACCATTTCTTCTGGGTTGCCCCAGATGAGGAGCAGGGTCCAAACAGGCAAAGGAGAAACTAGCTGAAGAAAACCTTGGTCAGCCCCAGACTAGCACAGGATCTTTGAAACTCCAAGCTGTGAAGCTCTATCAAGACCAAACTGGTCTTGTTCAGATTCATAATTCAACTGAGCTGTGGCGGATTTCCAGTGTGGGTAAAGCATTCCTGCCAAATTTCATGCTTTTCCTTCAACGTACAGGGCCTTTGGGACTGCCTAAAGAAGAGGCTGCCATTCTTTTCAGTGTGAGGCAAACAGGGGAAACAGCACATTTTTTCTTACAGTTGCTGAAGAGCAAAAACATTTTGGCTGAAATTATTATACACACTTAGCCTGAGGCAGTTCTTGATAGACACACACACACATCACATGTATGCAGCCTTAGGCAGACACCTGCCATGGAAAATGTGAGTCCCTATGGCTCAAGTCTGACAGTGGCATCAGCAATGGAAAATGTGGTCTAATAGTGGGAGTTATCAGGCAGCATTTAACAGGTGAGTTTCCCCAACACCACCCTAAATTATCCCTCCACCAAAAAGCTTTTAAAAGCTTCAACAAACTTATTTGTCCTTTGCAGTAATTTTCCTCTTAAAAACCTTGGCATGCACTTGTTCATATAAAATAACGATTAGCGGAAA